TTATACACACACACACACACACACACACACACATATATATATATATATATATATATATATATATATATATATATATACATACATAGGGTAAGATGGGGAAAGAAGTCCCCCTTAAGAACAATGTCCTTATAAGCTATTGATATACACATGAGTTTAGCATAGATGATCTTTTGGGGTTAACAGAATTGTTCTTAGGCTGTGGAATTATTAAATAACCCCAATTTAAATATAAAGGATTTCCAAATGTTTGTGTTTAACATTTTCAAGCAACCTATTATTTTGGGGCAAAATGTCCCCGGGGGCCTTTTGCAATATTTTACCCCATCGTTTTACACCCCAAATGCTCGAAATATATTCCTCAGATCCAAGTTAATTATTCTACCCTTAGTCTGCAGTGTACACATACTTTTAGGAGTTACAAATTAACTCTCTAAAACACAACTTTACATTAACATAACTTTGACATGATTTTGTGCATGATAAAAGTGATGACCTATATAAATAATGAGCATATAAATAAACTAGTATATAAATGTAGTTCATATTTTATACAACTAGGCTATATACACTTCACAATAATTAATACACTTAGGTGATAATACAGAAGAATTTTCTTTTGCCAGATAACATATCAGACATTAAACATGTTAGTAATGGCACATTAGATACGATCTGTAATGTTCACGTTGACATTTTTTCATGCATTGCTGCACTATTTTTGTAGCGTGAGCAAAGATCCTCCACCAAGAGCCTGCCACATTCTGAATAAACGCTTTAGGGGTGCCGACGAGTTTCATAGCCTACATTTACTGAGAAATCTACATGCCTTGCGCTGAACACAAACTAAAAACTTCCCCTCATCCAAAAACACTTCTCACGCGTGAGACTCGAGCACAGAAACCAGATTCAGTCATACAAACTATTCCAGGCGATTTCAAACTCTTCAAATTACCGAGGCAGCCACGTGCGCGGGGATTTTTAAAATTCGCACCGAAATGTGTTCTGGAGAAACTGTGTCACTGGGCCACGAGGCTCACGAGGTCACATGGACACATTTCGAGCCTCGTGCAGCTGCGCGCCTGCGCTCATCTCATCCATGCTCCTTGGAACGAGGCAAAAAGCAAAACCGGGCCGACTTGACAGAACAGTTCAGATCGACACAGATTGGGCGAGTGATACTGGCGTATGATACACTTTTACTGAATGAACCACATTTCTCTGACGTCTTTGCGCAGCATTTAACAACTTTTCTCAGCATCTAGCCGATGCGCGCGTATTTTATACGGTTTTAGTTCGTTTCGTGCCAGTTATGACTTTATCGTAAAGAAGAACCGATCTGTAAGAAAAACAGAAGTGCATCTGGAGAGTGCATCTTCTCTCTGGGTGTTGCATTGGAGATTTTGTCATAAACCTGCATGACTTTACTGGGGCTCAACATGACAACAGCAGTAGATACAAACAACACAGGTAAGACTTCTTTCTAGATGCTTTTAGAAACGTCTCGTTGATCAGTTTCCTTTCCGTCGCCTCTCCGCTTCTTCACTGTCAAATTGCCTGTCTGTAAGTTTCTATTACGCACTACTGAATGTTGCGCAACTTATCCGCAAAGTACATTTATAAGCATAGCTTGGTGCAGTGGAACGGCACGGATATCTTATAATAATTCTAATAAATTGATCTAGCGGTAAGGTTCGCCGAATTGCCTCGACATTTAGTAATAGCCTATTTAACGACGCATGATTCTGAAATAAACAATCGCGTAGATATATTTAAATATGTACATAATATCTTTTAGCATGTGCAAATACTTCATTGTGCTTTCGTAAAACTTAATTATGTGTTAAGGTCGCCGTGATTTTGCCAAGTAGCCTAAGACATGTTCCTGGATCAACATTACTGTCCAAAAATACAGATTTAACCCGATCCCTACCCCTAAACCTACCCATAATTTATTCCTAAAATCAGAGGGAAATGATGGGTGATTATCAAGCGTGTACACTCTTAAAAATAAAGGTGCTTCAAAAGGTTCTTCAAGCGATGCCATAGAACAGGGGTGCCCAACCCTGCTCCTGGCGATCGACTCTCCTGCAAAGTTCAGCTCCAACCCTAATCAAACACACCTGAAGCAACTAATTAGGGTATTCAGGATCACTTAAAAATTAAAGGCAGGTGTCTTTGATTAGAGTTGGAGCTAAACTTTGCAGGACAGTCGATCGCCAGGAGCAGGGTTGGGCACCCCTGCCATAGAAGAACCATTTTTGGTTCTACAAAGTACCATTCAGTCAAAGTTTCTTTAAAGAACCATCTCTTTCTTACCTTTTTATAATCTGAAGAACCTTCTTTCGCCACAAAGAACCTTTTGTGAAGCAGAAAGGTTCTTCAGATGTTAAAGGTGCTTTATGGAACCATTTAGACAAAAAGGTTCTTCTATGGCATCGTGAAGCACCTTTATTTTTAAGAGTGTAGAAGCACCTAATCCTGACTGTAAGTCTAAAACTGACATTTCCTGAAAAGTTAACTCTCAATTCTGATTGGTTGATAGGAATGTTGTTCCAGGATCAACAAGGATGTTGATCCAGGAACATGTTGTTCTTGGTGAAATCAGGCTCCCCCTGTAGATACATAGAATGTAAATGCCCAACGAGGACAAGGACATCACGGGTTAAGGCACAGTGTTCTCGTGAATTTCGGGGAACTAGGTCATAACTGAAAAGTCAGGTGTACGCACATCCCCGTGATGCAGGCGAGCGTCGACGATCCTCGCTCGATTCACATGGACCGCCGTGCCTAGCCATGTGCTTTTTGTTTTCAATCTCCGCTCTCCGCCTACAGCCATTGGTAAGCGCAGGAGCTCATTACATAATTCCGCCTCGCGCCGCGTTCGCAGTCTGAGCCATGTGCGCGCGGCGATTGGACCGAGGCGCGGGGCTGGGCTGGGCTGGGCATCACGTTAACCCGTGTTCGCTTCAAAAGTGGGACATGAAATTGATCCGGTTTAACGTAACAGTTTTTTCCTCTAATGACATGAATACAGCGTCACAAAATATCCCCGTCTCTGCCTTTGATAGATTATTTCTTGTTCTTAGTGTAGTGTTCAAACATACGGCTAATGAGCGAATTACGGTGGCTAACTTTAGTTTATGATACAACTCAGAGAGAGGAAAATATTTGTAGAATGGGTTAATTAGAATGATATATCGAATGTTTTCGACTCAATTCTGATTGGATGAATCGCGTTCGAAACCGTTTGATAAAGTGCTGATAAACATCTATGACTGTCTGTAAATTCGGAATAGGCTACTTATCTACTTATTACGCGGCTGCTTGTGAATGGTCAGTCGTTTATTCAGAAGTCAAATATTTTAAATATTTTGTATATCCTGCACTCCCCGGTAAACAAGTAAAAATACATGTTTATATTCAACGCTGTGTTGCTTGGTACCCGTTACCTTTATACAGTCAACCCAAATTATATAGCTAACGTAGCGGGGAAATGTTAAAATGTAGAATGTTTAAAATTATTATTGAGCCACATGTACCATTTTACCTTTTAGTTAGAATTTTTTAAATCACGAACGAAGAGTTTTCCGTTTCGCGTCGTGTAGAACACACTTGTCGAGTGGCTTAAGAGACGCATATAATGAACCCAACGTAAACACTGACAGCATTTATTAATGTAGAGTGTAAATGGCTCACTCATTGCGTGCAGGCGTAAATGAATGGAGCAAGTTTTAAAAAAAGCTGGTGTGTTTCGAGAGGCGTGGCTAATGAAGTGAGTCTCGTTGAAAGGCTGTCCTTTTTGTGCGCACGTGGAGGGGAGGCGTGCTTCCCCAATGACACGCGCCCGTGTTGTGCTTACACAAGTATTTCCTTTGACAGAATGTTTAGGAAAATCCAAGTGTTTGGATTAAAAAATTTAAAAAAGAGGAGCTGGAGAGAGCACGCTTTTGAGCATAAGCAGGGAGAAATCTCAAACCGCTGTTGCCATGTACCTATACCAGAAACATCCACAGTGAACTCACTGCAGGCTAGTGGACATGCATTGATAAATCTAATGCGGGACAATTGTTTTTCAGGAGCTTTTGAGGCAAACCACAGGGGAGTCAAAGCTACAGCATGTTTCCCAGTCGTGGCTCCACCTGACACAGTGACTTTTTGACCTTTTGTGCTAGTGTACAGTTACGTAACATCTAAACCAGTTCACCTTTGACATTTAAAGTGCTGTAAAGATTATACTCGCAAACACTTTGCAGAATAATTCTTAAAATGCAAAAAGCAATTTTTTGTAATATCTGTCTATGGGTGCATCATTTATTTGAGGAGAACATTAGCAAGTGCTGTAAAGATTATACTCGCAAACACTTTGCAGAATAATTCTTAAAATGCAAAAATCTGTTAAATACAAATCTCCCCAAAACATGGTTTCAAGGTTTCCATCAAGTGCGTTGATGCAGTGTGCAGGAGGAAACTGTAAAACGAGAATGAAGGATACAGTGTTTAACCTCAGGGGACCAAGGGTTAGGAAAGGCAGGAGGAAGTATCAGACACTAAGGAATAGTTTACATGCTAGAGTCAATGCCAAGGTCTCTAGCACACTGTGCTGTTTCTCAAGAGCAAAGTTCACTAGTCTAATCTGATTTGAGCTGATGGACGTTAATGAGCAGGATGTAACTCAAACAAAACGGAGTTGTAAATGTCATATAAATGCACACGGTTAGGCCTGTGCTACTGACACATCATGCAAAGTTGTGCATTTTATAATCTGAAATAACATTAGACAAATGTGGCTTGCTCACATGGCATACTGGTGCCAGTGAAACTATAAACCACAAGCCCTCTGAGGCACAAACTCAGGAAGAAAGGAGTGGTCGCTGTATTTTTATTTTTTTTATGTACCCATGCAGTTTACAACAACAGTTCCTAGAAAGTATCCCTATTTTCCACAAAAACAGATTCTCTTGCTCCCTCGGCTTCCTTGTTTCCATAGCGCGATCTGTTTCAACTGCTTGTGTAGTAGAGAAGTATTTATGGGAACATTTTAACGAGGATGGACCATTTTAGGGAGGAGAACAAATACCTGAGAACATTTTCAGCCCCCTTTCAGTGGGCCTCTTTCACTTTTTGTGTTCCCACAGTGGAGTAAAAAGGACTATTTAGTAAATGTGGCTTTCTTTTCTATCGCTAGGTGGGGTAATATCATACATCGGATCGTGTGGAGGCTCTCCCAACCGCACCAGCCCCGTGTCCATGTACAGTGAGAATTCCAACAGTAGCCAGACACAACCCTGCTTTGGCTCTTCATTCCCACCTTCCCCCAATGGATCCAATGATTCTTCACGTATGTACACCAGCAGTAGCAGCAGCAGCTCGAGTTCAGGATCAGGAGAGGACGGAAACTCATCATGCTCTGGTGGATCCCCAAGAGGCCGCGATGATGGTGGAAGTGCACGCAATTCACCCAACAAATCAGTTGCCACCCTTACTAGTAAGCAATAAGAACCATATTTTACCTGATGAACGTATAGTATGGTATCCAGGAGAAGGATTTTAACATCTGACTTTCCATTCAGAGCTGAATGGAATGGTGTTGCTGTGCAAAGTGTGTGGTGACGTGGCTTCTGGATTTCACTATGGTGTCCATGCCTGTGAGGGCTGCAAGGTAAGACAATAGCATTGATTTACATGCTCATGCACCATTAAAATATTGTTGATTGCATTTAAAAAATTTTTTTTTTACATTTTAATAATTGTAAATATTGCATTAATTTTAACATCTGACTTTCCATTCAGAGCTGAATGGAATGGTGTTGCTGTGCAAAGTGTGTGGCGACGTGGCTTCTGGATTTCACTATGGTGTCCATGCCTGTGAGGGCTGCAAGGTAAGACAATAGCATTGATTTACATGCTCATGCACCATTAAAATATTGTTGATTGCATTTAAAAAATTTTTTTTTTACATTTTAATAATTGTAAATATTGCATTTAAAAAATTCACATTTACGTTATCTGCTTTGTCTGCAGGGTTTCTTTCGACGCAGCATCCAGCAGAACATCCAGTACAAAAAGTGCCTTAAGAACGAAACCTGCACCATTATGAGGATCAACCGGAACCGGTGCCAGCAGTGCCGTTTCAAAAAGTGTCTGTCTGTGGGAATGTCCCGGGACGGTAAATATCTATACAACCAAACATAGAGAAACAGTTACAGAAAAGTTTGGGGATGCACTGATATAAAAATTCTGAATGATGCTTATATACCGATATTTTTAAAAAAAAATTAATAAATAATAAACACCAGTATTAAAATGAATACAAGTGAAAACAGTATAAATATTAATATTAACTTTAAGACTTAATGTTAATATTAAAAGTTAAATATGTTATAAAATTATTAGTGTTTATAAAATTAACTTTGAGGCAAAAGATTATGGCTAAAGTAATGTAAAAATGGGGGACTACCTATCCAGTATCAGCTGAAACAGATAAAAAAAACTAAACTAAAATATCACCCGATATCTGATATGGTACAATTATATCTTACATCCCATGAAACGTTTATAAACAGAACATTGACATGCAGCATAAATGATGAATTTGACATTTTCTATTCTTCCTTTAACCCCTAGCTGTTCGTTTCGGCCGGATCCCGAAACGTGAGAAACAGCGTATGCTGGCCGAGATGCAGAACGCCATGAACAACATGGTGAACAACCAGCTTCAGAATGAATTCCAGCTGGCGAGAATCACATCCAACACCCCCTGCTCTTCCTCATCATCCCCATCCTCATCTCCGTGCCCGGGGCTTACAGTGGGACCGCAACCCCAGCCCCCCGCAGTGGCCATAGCACCGTCCCCTTCCCCTCCGACCCCAACCTTTCCATCGGTGCAGCCGGCTCAGACGACTTCTCCACCACCGTGCTCCAGTCCAGGTGTAGATAAAACCATCGCCGCCATAACCAGAGCACACCGTGAGACCTTCATCTACGCCCATGATAAGTTGGGTCCAGCACTTATGCCTCACAACGGCGAGCTGGACAACCAAAGCAGCAACCGCTGCATGGCTGGATACCACCTCAACGGCCCCAACACCATCTACCACCATGATAATAATGTCACTCATCATTGTAACAACTTCGAGGTGCCACCAGAAAATGGCCTCCATTTTCAAGCCTCTGGACAACATCACCAGCACAATAACAATGGTCAGCGACCTCCGAACAGTAACCTCTTTGGCGTTCCCCACCACAGTCAGGAGATGAACAGCAGCTCCCAGGGGCAGAACTGTCCGTGGAAAAAACGCAAGGAGATTCTGCTGGTAAGATCTTTGGTATTTAAACTACTCTATAGGTGATTACCAAGTAAAGAGGACTTGGAAGTGATGATGATTCCTATATTTCCAGGCTTGTCCAATGAACATGCATCCTTACTCAGACCCCAACAAAACACCACAGGAAATCTGGGAAGACTTCTCTCTTTGCTTCACCCCAGCGGTCAGAGAGGTGGTGGAGTTCGCCAAACACATCCCAGGGTTTAGCACGCTATCCCAGAACGACCAGGTCACTTTGCTGAAGGCCGGAACGTTTGAGGTAAGTTATTGGCGTTTTATTTAAAACAACTGACTTGCATCAAGGCCACAGTGCCAATTACACCTTGATGGTTTTACGAAGTGTGTATTTATTTTTGAATATCTCCTGCAGGTCCTCATGGTGCGCTTCTCCTCTCTGTTTAACGTAAAAGAGAGGACCGTAACGTTCATCTCGGGCACCACCTACAGCCTGGAGGCCCTGAAAAGCATGGGCATGGGCGATCTGCTGGGAATCATGTTCGACTTCAGTGAAAAACTCAACGCACTAGAGCTCTCAGCAGAAGAACTAGGACTCTTCACTGCAGTCGTGCTGGTGTCTGCAGGTCAGTTGCATATTAGTGTTAAAGAGAAAGTTCACTCAAAAATGAAAACTGTCATCTACTCACCCTCATATTGTTCCAAACCCTTAAGACTTTGGTTGATCTTTAAACACAAATTCAGATATTTTTAATGAAACCTGAGAGGTTTCGGTTCCTCCATTGAAAGCCTATGTAACCAAAACTTAGAAGATCCAAAAGAGATACGATCGCTCTATATGATGATTTATGACCTTTTTGGACTTACCTGGAACTTCAATGGAAGGACAGAAACCTCTCAGGTTTCATAAAAAGTATCTTAATTTGAAAAGATCAACCAAAGCTTTATGGGTTTGAAGCAACATGAGGGTTGGTAAATCAAATCATGTCATTCCAAACCTTCAAGACTGTCTTTCTTCTGTGCAGCACGAAAGTACCTTCATTTGATCCACTAATTAATTGGGTCTCTCATTGTTTGTTTCTGTTGTACAGACCGTTCTGGCATTGAAAACGTGAATTCAGTGGAGATGCTTCAGGAAAGTTTAATCCGGGCTCTCCGATCCCTCGTCAGCAAGAACGCCCCTAATGACGCCTCCCGATTCACCAAGCTGCTGCTCAAACTTCCTGACCTGCGCACGCTGAATAACATGCACTCAGAGAAGCTGCTCTCTTTCCGCATTGATGCCTGAGGTTGCAAGAAGCTGATGAAAGTGGGTCACCGCTGGTTGACTGAAAGACAGAATGGGTACAAACATTAGAACTCTATCCAAGAGAACCCACCAGAAAGCAAACTCGTGGCTTTGGCGCTTAAAAGCACTTGATGACACATTTAAAGAGACGCTTTGGTGTCTAATGGTCGGTCAGTAGCCTTTATGGCTTGATAACCATAAAGGTTCCTTGAGCCACTTTCAGTACTTACCTGAAATGGGTGGCAAGATTAAGCTAATAATAAAGCAGACAAAAAACACTCACATTTGGACTGCATCCACATGGGGAACAAGTGCAAAATGCCTCTTGTAAGGAGTCACAGCCAAGCCAGAAGGATCTCCAGGCCACTTCCAAACAGGGGACGATGGCAGAAAAACGTCAAGCGTCTCCTAGTGCCCAGTCCGGCCTGGGTTGCTGCTATACCCACACTCAGAGAAAGTTATGATCATTTTAACTATAACGCAAATGACAAGCTATACATGGTATGAACCTTCACACATAATCACATCCCTGTGACTTTGTAAAATGTGTAAATATGATATACATACTTTAAATGTTTTAAAATGTATAATATATATTTTTTTGTAGAGTTCACATGCTCAACACAAATGATAAATCTACTCAAGCACAGACATATAAGTAGAGTGTATGCATATTGTAGACATTAAGACATGTATTTCAGTTGTCTTCTTCATAAAGACATTTTATGAAACAGAGTGTAGCGTGTCGGGTTTTATTTTTTATCTCTATGTAATGTTTTTAACTTTTGCATCTTGAACAAATGTTGGTTTATCTGTGTACTAAACATGTTTACATTTAAAGAAAGTAAAAATGTATAAAATACTAACTGAATGATTTAAAAAAAAAAACTACATAAAATGTACTATGTATAATATACTAGGTATACCAAAAAGAGAGCACCAGGGAAAATGTATCATTGCTGTCCTGGATTGTAAAGTTAAGGCGGTGTCCTCTAGTGGCAGCTGACCTGTGTACCAAATATGGAAGACAGGAAATGATGCCAATTCTTTTCCATAAGCTCTGACACTGAACAGGACTGGGACGTAAACTAGTACATTATGCATGTTTAAAAGTTTGGGATTTAGTACAATTTAATAATAGTAATACTTCTATTCAGCAAAAAGATATTTAAGTGATCAAATGTGACAAACACAATAATTAAAATATTTATATTTTAAATAAATGCTGTTCTTTGGAATGATCCATTCTTAAAAGCCTGAAACAAATGTCCTGGTTTCAACAAAAATATGAAGCAGCACAACCGTTTTCAACATTGATAATAAGAAATGTTTCTTGAGGAGCAAATCATCAAATTAGAATGATTTCTGAAGGATCATGCGACTAAAGACTGCAGTAATGCTGCTCAAAAATCAACTTTGCCATCACTGGAATATTGCATTTAAATATATTTATTCAAATATAAATTTCATTTTATAAATTACCAACGGTTATACATATAAATGAAGGAAAAAATGGAAGAATATTGAAAATATTAAATACTGGAAATGTACATGTGACATTCAATAATACTGAATTCCTAACAAACAATAGAATCAATATACCTAACACAGGAAACATTAAAAGTTATTGCAAAAAGTAAACGAGTAATCAGAAAATGAGCAAGTGGGAAAAAATATACGCACAATATCTACCTCATTCATTATAAATCACCTCATTACACTGACTTGAGTAAATACTACCAATAAATAAATCTGGCACTTTTTTTTTTTTTAATGACAAAGCAATGTGGAAAGAACAAGGTATGCTTAATTAGCAATGCAAGCAAATACTGATTACAAGATACTACAAATTCTGTAAAAGAGCTTTAAGGCAATTATTATATTTAAAAAAAAAACAGATTTTAAGAGGGACAGAAGCAATAGTTTACTGAGGTGATTACGAAGGACTCAAAAGGTCAAGTCATTATATGCCAAGCTCTGTCTTAATTTTCCCCACCGGACGTGGAATCTGATCTATAAAAACTGTTGTGAAAGCACATCATGTAGTCCAGGCTCTTTCTCATTACAGACACCAAAATAAGCAGAGAATATGTGGAGTGTTCTCCACACACATGGACCAAAAACTGGGTCATTGTGCCCTCATAATCACTTTCACAGCTCGCTATTGGCCAAATCCAGAGCAAACCTCACATCTTACTTGGCCAATGAGAGCAGCTCCTGTTGTGCAGCGCCTGAGGGCGGATAACTGGTGCAGAAAGTGGAGTCATGCTCTAAGTGCCAAGTGGAGAATGTCAGAACAACCATGGGAAGAAAAAAAAAATTCTGTGAATTTGATCTCTGGTTTCATAATAAGCTTGGGGGTGGCCAGAAGCCAACGTGATAGGAGCTTTTCGTGTCTGACATGATGGAAATATACGACACTTCAAAAATGAAAAATGATTCTACACAACTGTTGTGTAGTAAAAAAGGGGTATTAAATATACAGGCAGCAGAAGAACAAGCTTGAGTCTCCAGATACACTCTAATTCGTTACCTAACCTGTTATGTCAGACCATAGTGGATGGAACAATATGCATGTGGTGCTCTTCAAAGGAAGTGCTGCCCTCTAGTGTGGAAAAACCAGAGCTGACTGTAAACGTAAAAGAGGGAAGTGAAAACAGCATGCCATTTTATACATTTTAGATTAATTTTATTTACCTTTTTGTTATATAATAGACACAAACAGTACATTTAAACTATACTGCTAAAAGATGTCATGTGACCTGCATTTACTAAGTGAACAATGCAGAGCTCTTTGCTACTTGAAAACATACGAGTCTCAAACTGAACTGCTGGCTCTCCCAATCTGTTGACATGAGTGAAGAGCAATTTTATGCAAATAATAATGACTGTCTGGGTTGGTTAGATAAAGTCTGAAAGTACTTTTTGACTCACAACGCAGACACAACACAAACATTCATTTTTATGTATCAACAATACAACTAGAACGGTACAATGCAAATGGATTGTGTGTCATATAATAGAAGTGACATACATGATGTAGTCTAACCGGAGGATCTGGCCTGGGGTAAATTTCGTGATGTCAGATGTTCGGATTGGAGGAGAGAAACTCAAGCCACTCTGTCAGAACAGGATGTTGCACTGGGGGCTGAAAACAGTGATTTATAAATGAACAAACCAAATTCAGAAAAGACAGAAAATAATGTTGCAAGGATCTGAGCTGGTAACATCTTGACCTCCAATAAGAGATTGGGATATTCCAGTTACTTGGCTTGGAAACATTATACCAATTACTTGGCTTGGGGAACATTTTCAGAAAATGCTCAATGTAGTCTCAATGCAGCATAGCAGTCTCTCGGCTACACTTACTTCACATACAAAAAGACCCAATCTAATAAACATGCATTAAAATGCAATTTATACATTCAATGAATTCAATGCAGCTCCTCTATGAGGAGCAAATGATGGATTAATATTTATTTTGATATTTTTGGGGGAGAATTAATTACAAAAATGATACAGTTGTTCTGATATCATAAAGCAATAAAAATAATGACTGAAATTCATAAAAAGAAAACATTATTAAATAGTTTGGCACAAATTAACAAAATTACAAAATTTACTAAAATACTCAATTTAGGGGGAGAGGAAAAACTTATAACAAGGCGAGGTTAATTCAGAATGTAAAATGTTATGAGGGGCAGCTCCCCAAAAGTATATTGATAACTATGAATTTATAATTCCTGATATTTAATCAAAAAAATTTACCTTGAAAAAAAAAACACACAAATGATTTGAAATTAAACACGTAAGGAAAATATTTAAACGTGGTGATTCAATTAAAACCTTTCTTAAAACTATTTAGAACTTTTCAAAAACATATCAAGCCAACATGAAAACAAACTACAATTTATAAGAATTTGTAATAATATTTATGAAGTTTGACTATGGCACAAATTTGGTGAAAAAAATCAGCAACAACATGGATATTTGCATATTTTGATCCTTTGTGTCATGGTTAGTAAAGAAGTAATAGAAATGAGTGAATAGAAATGAAATCTTTTCACTCTTCCTCACCTGTAGATCGGTGATATCAAGCAGATTGCCGTCTTTCCTCACAGACAGGAGAGTAGCTCGGCCGTGTGATGGGTATCCCTCCTCAACCCTCAGGTGACATACGGCGGTCGCAGTCTTGAGAAAGATCAGAAGCTTTTCAGCAGGACACCAATCAATCGCAAACCTGTCGAAACAAACCAAAAATTGTATATGAGATACAGGGAGTACATTTCTTCATAGTGTAAAACAAGTTTCCCATTTTTGCTGTAAAGAACATAATGTTGAGATCCAGTGCTGTTAACTTAAATTTTAATTTCTATTCTATTTCTAAATAAGAACATTTTTCAGCATCTGAGATCCAATAAAAGACGGTGGTGAACGGGTCACTTTAATGATATATATTATTGCAAGCTTGCATGGTGTAGTAATAAAAAGAATTAAATTAGTTCATATCCAGTGCCAAGCCTGTGACTTCACGCTTTACGTAATCACGTTGGAAAGGTCATGCGTGGTTAGTTATTTGCCTGTGTTTTTCGGTTCAAAAAGGTAGGGTCGGGCTCATTTTTTCAATCTCATTTTCTTCACCAACTTCAAAATCGTCTGACATCGTTTTTACCTTTTTTGTAAAGAGCATTTAACTTTCTTTGCATGTTTGCATTATAAACACTGGGTCGGTACTTCCGCCGACGTCACACGTGTGTGATTACGTAATGCACGTTGTCGAGCTAGTGCAAGATGAGCATTTGTGGTTAAAAAAAAAAGTGTATACATTTTTGTGTTTTTTTTTTAAATGACAGAACGTTTCACTAGTTAAGACCCTTATTCCTCGGCTGAGATGTAGAGAGCCCTTTCAAGCTGCACTGAAACTGCAATTTGGACCTTCAACCTGTTGGGTCCCATTGAAGTCCACTATATGAAGAAAAATCCTGGAATGTTGCCTTTTCGACTGAAGAAAGAAAGAAAATGTATATCTTGGATGACATGGGGGTGAGTAAATTATTAGGAAATGTTTATTCTGGAAGTGAACTAATCCTT